AGTCCTACAAATACTTTTATTTTATTTCCTTCTTATTTTGTCTAAGCTCAAGGGAGCCAGAGCAGAGGGCTTAAAGAGCCGCATGCGGCTCGAGAGCTGCGGGTTGCCGACCCCTGCCACATCGAAGCATATGGAAGAAATTTCAATATTTTACTGAAGATGAAAGTTGGAATATTGTGAAGAAAACACAAAGCAAACCCACACACCTACATAGAAAGAATACTTCTCAGCATAGAAGCAGTATCTCAGGCTCTGCATGTACCGGATAAGTGTGTGTGTGTGTGTGTGTGTGTGTGTGTGTGTGTGTGTGTGTGTGTGTGTGTGTGTGTGTGTGTGTGTATGTGCCTGTCTGTCTGTGTGGGCGAGTATATGATCTTTGACACAAGGCACTGAAAATAATCTCATAATGAAAAAGTGTTCACTAACTCATAAACCCCAACAAGGAGATAGGCAAAAAAAACTCCACGTACACACACCCACACATGGCGCACACTCATATCACACAGAAATAAACATGCATATAATTGTACGGAAAGCACAAGCAGGCATGAGCTCGTAAAGTAACGTAGATAGCTGGTTAGACGGAAAGAGAAAGAGAGAAAGAGGTGAAGACCCGTGTTTAGAGGAATTGCCTCAGGCTGAGGATCAAACAAACAGGCTCTGTGTTATCAGTGATGCTGTATTATGTTCAGCGGAGCATCAGAGGGCTACTGCACACTTTCATTATTGAACATGTTTCATCCCGGCTGAATTATAAATCCTTGTTTCTGTTGAGCTGAAATAATGCATTTGACTTGACAAACACACGTCCTACCTAAGGCAAGGAAAGACAAGTCAAGGTTATTTTTAAAGCACATTTCAACAGGAGGCAATTTAAAGTGCTTTACAAAAAACAACAACATCAAAAGCATGATGTTATAGTGCAACAGAAACGATTATAAAATTACATTTAAATAGGCATTGAAAAGGCATTAAAAAGCCAAGAGAATACAAATAAATCCAATAATATAATACAGTTAGAGTGCAGTCTAACATATGAATAGTTATTTGATTTAATAGAAGGCTGCGGCAAAAAGAAGAGTCGTCAGCCTTGATTTGAGAGAAGTAAGAATTGCAGTTTTTGTGGAGTTTGTTGCATATATGGAGCGTAATAACTGAACGCTTCTTTTCCAGGTTTAGTTTTGACTCTGGAGACAGAGAGAAGACCTGTCTCAGAAGACGTAATCCTTCTGGAGGGATCATAATGTATCGAAGGATCAGAAATGCATTCTGTCCGTAAACACATGTCCATTATTCCAACATTTGCCCTACAAATGCTGCTTCCTGTCTTACAGAGTGAAAAATCTTTACTTCCCATCTCCCAATATTGACACGTCTAAGTGACAGTTGCCACGGTGATAAACAGCATTGAGGGAGAGCAACAACCTGATGGTAAGAAGGATAACAACAACAGCACAATGCACTTCATTTATTCCCCTGTCCATCGGTCTCATTATCCACATGTGTTTCTGCAGCAATCTTAAACATTTATTTCACTTTCTGATCGTTTCGGTTGCTCAGCCTCGTCCACCCACTCTTTCTATTTATTGCCTCGATCCGTCTCTCTCTCAATGTCTTGCCAGCACGTATGTTCATGTAATGCTAACGACATAGGAATGGTGTGTTTTTACCCATGTGCATCTGTTAAAGGGCAGGGCAATGTTAATGATATCTGTGATACGGCAGAGGGGGATAATGAATGGACCGCATGGTGGTCCAGGTCATTAGTGGGGGACCACCTCTGCGTTTTTTTTTGCTACAAATCGTTTTTGGTCCATGGGGGTGCAGTGACGTCAAATGTTCACGTTACACACACACACACACACACACACACACACACACACACACACACACACACACACACACACACACACACACACACACACACACACACACACACACACACACACGATAAAAGGGAAGACTAACCAATTAGAACATTCACAAAAAATCAATTCGCTAACTGGTGGTGAGATCGATCTTGTGGAAGACTCAATCTGAATAATTTAAAATCATTAGTATTCTTTGTGGTTATCACAGCAATACATGCTTTGAAATAGTGCTGTTACTGAATTATTAAATATATATTTAAATGTTTTAATTAAAATAAATATGTTGACTGTTAATTTTCTAATGAGCTTGAGTTCACTTCACATGGAGAGTCTCAAAGTGTTTTACCACGAGAGCTACCCATATAAACGACATTTCTCAAGTGCTGCTGATTTTCCCTCTCGATGACTCAATACAGACTCAAAAACATTTCTACTCTCCTCTCTTCTTCATCCTCTGCGATCCTTTTTCCAGACTGATAAGCACACCAGGCATTATTTTTTATATTTTACCTCTATGCATATCAATTAAGAAGACAAATACTTATAGTTAGGATTTGCAATCCAATTACAGAGCTTTTAACCACCAGGTAAAATACCGTTCGCTTACCGTGCATGTTTAGCTTGTGGAGGTGATTTCTTTCCAAACAATACTGGATGTTGTGGCCATTACTGATTTAGATATGTTATCTGATTCTTAGTTTAGTTTGAAAAATCTTTAACAATAATGATATGCTAGAAGATGCATTAGATAACACAATACATAAACAACTGCAATATCAGATTTTGAAAGCAGATTCTGGCAACCAAGAATGACCTCCAAGCCTTAGCTGCAAAATGGTATTACATGTGTAAAGTCTACATTTTATATGGGAAAGTTGGGGAACACAGTTCATCTCATCACAGTTTCTTGATTTTTTTTCCAATTTGCAGTTTGCACGTTATTCATATTATACTCATAACAGTTGCAAACTATGAATATCTCCAATATTTCTATTTGTCTGAACCACGGATTGCATTGGACTTATTTCACACTTTTCCTTTGTACACAATGTACATTGATATTCCAGTCTTATTCTTATTCCTAGCAACCTTTCTCAGTGTTATATTTCCTACCTAACACTTCACCATATATTGTATGCGTACTAAGTCTTGGAATCAGACATTACACTTTGTTTCTCCAAGAAAACTTTCCCCTAGACATTCAAAAATCTCAGCGCAGCATGGTTCCATCACAACTTGTATTCCCCCACTGGCGCAGTTGTTCGTTCCAGCCCATTTCCAACACTGAAAACAGCTGTTGCACCATTATGATTAAAATCGACCATTAAACTTAATGTAGCAAACAAAGCTGCATGGGTTAGTTCCAGGCGAGCCTTGCATTAACATTGACAGGTGAAAATAACCTGGGTTGTATAAACATTTCTGTGCAGTTAAGCTTTCATCATTAGATGTTGGATGTTGTTTCTCATTCACAATAAAAAATGTATGCGGAAAGAAGTTCAATCCAGGGTGGAAGGTAACATTGCGTAGAGTTTGACTTTATTTACGTCACAGAAGCAGTTTTTCAGACTTAGCATTGATGTGGAACTCCGAAAAACTGAAATGAAACAATGTGGAACGTGTACAAGCTGCCATGAGCAGGCATTGAGAAAAACAGTGAATAAAGAACTGACAGTGCATCCATTTTATCGTAGGGTTTAATGCACTCGAATGTACCCGAGATGAATGGCAGTGCTGGGGTGGCTGAAAAGATGAGTGGGAAAAGAAGAGAGGAGCAAGATAATGGAGAGGAGCAGAGTTAGAGATTGAGAGACAAAGAGAGACACAGGAGCATTGAGGAAAAGGAAATCAAACAGATGGAAGGAAGAGAGGGATGCAAACACCAAGGAGGAAGTATTGTACTACTTCTAAAAACAGAAGGGAAGAAGAGAAGAAAAAAAAGCAAGGGGAAATGAGAAAAGACGGATCACATGCAGAGACATTTTAAAAGAGGGATTATTGGAGTATGAAGATGAATAGGGGAAGTGAAAGAGGCCGAGTGAGGCATATCAGGCAAAGAATTTAGATCGAATAGACAAGGGAGAAGAAATAATTGAGAAAGAAAGAAAGAAAGAGAATCGATGAATGGAAGAAGAGCAGGGATGACGGAAAGAGAGTCGAGGGCGAAGAGGTAAAGACAAGATGAGGAGAGGGATAGTGGACCTGATGGATGAGCGATGTCAGGTTCATTTCCTGAGGAGCAGAACAAGACAAAGCCCATTTAATAATATACACACACACATGCAGACACACACACACACACATTCAGGCTGGAAGTGTACTGGGTGTTAGGTGGATTGTCTTGATAAAAGATTTCTGAGCCACAGAGTGTGGTGAGAATAAATAAAATATCATCTCATTCTCATTTGATTTAATAGAACAGGCCTTCTGTTTAGCATGCTGCCTTCTGTTTTGTGTGTGTGTGTGTGTGTGTGTGTGTGTGTGTGTGTGTGTGTGTGTGTGTGTGTGTGTGTGTGTGTGTGTGTGTGTGTGTGTTTGTGTGCGTGTGTGCGTGTGTGTGTCTTTTGTTGTGTTTGTGACGACAAGTCCCTGTGCTAGTTTGCATATGTTTGTGTGTGTGTGTGTCTGCCTGTCAAGTTTAAATGCATTTGTTCCGAGGCATAAATGTGATTTTGTCAGAATAGTAATAAGGAAGCGTAACAAAATATCCTGATAAAACGACATAATGTGATCAAGATGATTATATTATAGGAAATGTATGTTTGCTTTGTCTGTGCCTTCCTATTTTTAAATTGTGATCTATGAACGCAGCTGCCAGCCTGTGTGTCCGCCTGTGTGTCCGCCTGTCTGTCCGCCTGTGTGTCCGGCTCTTCCTGTATTTGTGTGCGTTTTGTGTGTTTTGCAGCTGTCCTCAAGCCTTTGTCTCAGGGGAGCAATACAATTGGTGGTTTAATGAATTGCCACCTGCCTGCTACGGGCTAATCAATGACAGGGAAAACATTAAGATTAGCTCGTTTGAAGAGCCTGATAATTGACTGTAAAGGCTTGACAGGAGAGTGATGCATCTTGTAAGGAGGACACAGATGGATCAGAGCAGATGGAGAAATAGATGGACAAAAACAGACTGAGATGCAGGAAGTGAAAGAGGAACCAAAGAGGCAGGAAGGAACGATGACAGAGAACAAACCGCACAGATTCACACCCAAAGATCATGGGAAGGTTTGTCGACTGTTGGGTAAAAAAACTCTTATAAAAAGGTATTCATTTGACCTCACCATTTAGTGTAATAGACTTTTGCATTTCAAATTAGCAACCCAGCTTTGCTTCTATTTACTCATGTGTTACCAAATGTCTCTTTTTCTTCCATAGAACCACACATGTGCAGGATAACTCTCCCGAGCAAAATGTAACAACTTGCTCTTGCAAAGTGAACTGAGCACTGAACAATCTGGTGGTAATATGTTAAAATATCACCTGTCTCTAAGAAATGAGTTTATTTTAAAAGAAAATCTGTTAAAGCAAATGCATTTTTGTAAATTCAACATAATAAGGAACTTTTCACATTGACATTCAGTAGAGAAATGATTACGAACCGCAAGTGACAGAAATATATAGTCTTCGTTAAATTATAAGCACAGACATGAAATGCTTATTTTTAAATAAAATGTAAATGAAATGGTTAATATCTTTGATTCTTGGCACATTTTCCTATTTTGGATATTAGTGGCCAACTTGGACAAAAACACATTTTATTAAATACATCAGGTTTTTCATTCCCTTACATGTGTAAAACTGTGAATTCTACAAATTCGACGAAGTTCAACGTAGCAGAGGAAGTGACCAATTTCTCAACCAAAGTTGCAAGACACATTACAGTTTGCTAAGTAAGGGATGTCTTAATCATTTACTAGGCCTCCTGCTATGCTGTTCCCAACACATAAACTGCACGAGTATCAATAGAGTTGAATTAATTTAAATAAACGACTTGCATTCTTTACAGTCACGTGTGAGGCTTGTTCATGTGTTCGAAAGACTATTAAACTGCACAAACTAATACAGACAGATCAAAGTGAAGGCACAGCAGCAGCAACAACACTTTAGGGAGATTATTTCTTTAGCATGTAATAGAAAAATCCCACAGCAAATGTAGATATCAGTTAATGCTGTAAAAGCTTTCATAAACTGGGGTCAACATTTTTTATTGACATTATTTGTAATAAAAATATAACAGCGATGCAAGCAGACATCCTGATCCCACTGAGAGTCTCTAAAAGCTTTTGCGGGATGTCAAATAAAGGCAAAAACAAATGCAAGAGTCCGAGAAAACCCTTTTGAGTGTAGAACTGTTGTTCAAAACGTCATTATATCTTGGTGTCAAAGTTAATAAACTCTTTTTTAAATCCTACATACGTTCCTACATACGTTTGACACAAGGTAATTTACAAATCGATGAAGAACCACAGGTAATGACACAGAAAACGAGACTGGTACCGAGCAGGTATGACACAGTATTACATTTGCTGCTTCATAAGGTCAGCAGAGGAGGATAATACGCCACTGTTTGGTTTCAAAGGCTCTTTTGTCGGATCTCTGTGTGCTGTGTACTATTTTTTTTAACCTGCTGACATGCTCCAAATTGAGTTTTCATCTTGTCCTTTATCAGTGTTTTTGCTCTCACAGTCAGCAGACATTACATGAACTTTAAACTCAATCTTCAACTGGCTCCACAAACACTGTGACAGTGATTTAAGATGGGGCAAGATTCAACTTTTTGACGATGTATCATACAGTAGACAGAAAGTCCTCAATGTATTCAGTCCCATACTTTGCTTCATTAAAATAAATTCAAGTTCAATGAGGGCGTATTCTCTTGCTGGGAAACCAAATAATAATAGTTTTAATGAATTTGACGGAATTAAAGGTCAGGAAAAACGAACAACAGTAAAACAGCTTTACCATCCAATATTGATGGCTTTATTATTGCTCGTTAAATTGTGTGAATAGCAGAAGGGTTACTGTTGGAGCCACAAAGAGTGGATAATGAGGTGTCTTAAGCACAAAAAAAGGCGATGAGAGTAATAGGCTTATAAAACATTACTGCTCAGCATTTTAAATATGTATGTCAAAAACGCATTGCGCGTCTTGCCACTGATTTACTGGTTTTAGAATCCATCACAGCCGACACACTCAAGCTATTCATTTCCAACATAAAAGAGCAAGTCCTAAAAAGTTAATCAAATGATACATTTTTCATGTTGATCAATTTAGCTTCAGAGCAAGCAGTGTACAGAGACTGTGCATCTTTGATTCAAAAGAAAATACTGCAATTAATTGTATTAATAATTCCACCACAGCTATGCACTTCTCCGACAGCTCTGTAACTTATGATTATGAGGACTAACGGAGATATCACACAGGAATTAAGTGAAATCACCACATTTATCATCAAGTTAATGTAAATATATAGTGTTTTATTTATTTCATAAATGTACTTCACTCACTTAAATACTTACATTTCTGGGCTGAGTTAATATACAGACCTACAGCTGACTCAAATCAACGAAGGATTTTTGAAAGAAACAGCATATTAGCAGACTAACTCTGAAATAACTCAAACTGGAGCAGCATGTTCATCATGTCAAATAAATAACTTATACTTCAATAAGAAAATCTAAATGAACTGAAGTTGCCTCTAGTGGAGTTACTGAAACTTAGCATTTAAAAGGCAGCAGGGGTTTTGTAAAGTTCTTGTGTATTGGTATGTCTATAAGACCATGCAGCTTACAGGGAGAAGTGTTGAACAGCAGCTCTCTCTTCGATGGAGAACAGCATCGTGGAATGTAATCCCCACTCTTGTTTAGTTTGTTTAATTGCGATAAAATGATAGCAACAGGTTATGTGATATTCTCCCAGTGCTTGAGCATATCCTAAATAAATGGTGACTCTTTCAAACTCAACAACAAACCTAATGCCACAAATGGGGCGAAGCCTGCAAGCTAGTTCAGGCAGCCAACTCGAGCACTTAGCTTGCTGCTGCTATTGCTGCAGCTACCTCTACGTCGCTGCTGCTTGCCTGCCCCACCACCACCCCAGCTTCCACCCCAGCTTCCACCTGTAGGCTCCGCTCGGGGGTTAGTTATTTAATCATCAATCATCGTGCTATGTATATCTGTGGAGTGATGATGCCCGAGCGCCTAGTCGCCAAACTCAACTATATGCTGCTTCTAATAAACATGTTAAAGAAACACGTGAGTTGTCTGACTGAACTAGGAAAGTAAGGCTGTTTAAATGTACACATCTAAAAGAAAAAGATTTAAAAAAGCAACAGTCACTTTTGTAACATTATACTATATGATTATATTACTGTGGGGGGTCAAATTGATTAAGATAGTATGTTAGTATAAATGTACCTACATTTCCAGAAGTGAAAGTTAGAATAAAACTGTGTCTGTGTATCACTGAAGGTGAAAAGGAGTTGAGGTGAAACTCGAGTTTGTCTATTTTGAAAATGAATACCTGATATAGTTCACGAAGAGTTAACACGGTAGTGAATTTTGTCTATATCTTTGGTTTCTTTTTTTCTTTCTCCTAATGCATTTCAGGGCTTAAAATAAGATCTAATGAGCATGAGTATTGGTCAACTGGATTCAAGTCTGTGATTTATTTGTAGTTTTATATCATATCCCTCTGGAAGCCTTTAGGTACATTTTGGATGCAAGGTGGCAAGAGTAGAATCAAAACAAAAATCCTTCTTCTGTTTTCCTCTTTAGGTTTGAACAGGATTAGCTCAGGCTGGAACCCATTTGTTGTGTATTACGCTGCTCAGTCCCGCCCACAGCAACACCTGTGATCATTTTACATGGTGTCAACATAATGTGCTCTTTTAAATTTGTAATGTGTTGTACCTATTGAGTTCATATTGACTGTAAAGTACATAGAGTAGAAATACATTGGTTTTAACTTATACACTGAGGTGCAAGACTGATAAAACAAGTACCCAAACAAAAAAGAAATATCAAAAGAGAAGAGATGGCCTTAGCGTCACCATCACTGACATTTTGTGTGGAAGCCGTGTTGAAGGACACATCAGACACACTGCTCTGCACGCCTGTCGAGGGCTTTAGCACTCACACACTTTGACGTGGATTGCATTCAAACCCCTGACACTCGAGGAGGCAAGCCTTCTCTGAGGACAAATCACTCGTATGAGAAGTTAAACAGCATTGTGTTGTCAAGGATGATTGTGTGATGTGTGTTCAGTTTAAAAAATGTAGAAAAACCACAGAATGAGAAGTAATGTACGTAGTGGGAGAGTAAGACGGTGGGAGGAAGAGGAGAAAAGCTTCGACAGAGAGAATCAAATTTGACAGTTTAATACTGAGATGCCACTGGTGAACTTTTTTTTTTTTTGTGTGGATGAGCTGCCAAGTTGCATCATAGACGAGCAGACAGCCGAGACATGAGAAAACTTGGAGAGATCAAATGCTTTAATGTCAATGTCAGGGCCAGCTGCGGGTCGACAGAGGCTGAACTAAATATAACCTTTCCCTTTTTCTGAATGTAATAAATAATCTTTACCGGTCACTCTTGATTAGTTTTTTTTAAAGCAGTTTCTCTGCGCTTATTTGTGTTTTGTAACAGATAATCTTCCAGAAAAACACTGTTCAGGGTTGAGAAAGTCAACACTTCTTTAATTCTAGAAGGTTTGCAATTTAAGATTGATTTTTGAAACACAAACCCGAACAAAAGAGGATGGAAATTAAAACCTTGTAGCAACAGCGCTGCAACTTCAATTGAGGAACACAAAGTCCAATGAAAACACATTGTTATTGTAGGCAACACATGAAAATGGAAAGTGAATCAGTTTGCTTGAAGGCCTGATTGGTTAATTCAATCGAGCAGCGGATTCGGAGCAGCAGATGGGAGCAGACTCAGCTGGCAGTTTTATGTTATTATAATTTTTTCAGAGAAACACTGTGCTTCAATTTCATCAACAGATAAAGAGATAAAGGTTAAATTTGAAGGTGGCGGGATCCCACATTGAGAGTGTGTGTGTGTGTGTGTGTGTGTTTGTGTGTGTGTGGTGGGGGTTAATGGCCCTTTGCCATGGCCTGATTTGGTGCTGCGGCTGATGGGATGTCACTAGTTAGATTATATTTTGAGCATGGTTTACTGAGCTTCATTGTTTATAAAATGTACGTTATAAATAGACTTTGTTC